TATATATATATATATATATACACACACACATTTTAAATAAAAATGCAAAATAATAAAATAATGTGTTTAAAAATAAATATAATAATGTATACATATAAGTAAACATTCATATGTTTAGCAAATTTATAAGATGAGGATGTTCTAAACACTTTACATAAATAATAAAGAATAATAAATAACAATGGAACAAAGATATCTATTCATGCTTAATAATCTAAATAATTTTACATTAGAATGAAATTAAATCTAAACTAAACTAAATATAAAACTATTAGAAAATATTTTAAACATTGAAGTATATATGGATTAAGAAAATGAGCTTACCCGTACCTGCCGTCTCTCATATCTCTCCCGTCTCTGGATAACCAATGATCGTCGTCCCTGCTACCACTATAATGACCCATATTGTACCCACCGTCTCTCCGAATTCTATCATCCTTGTTCATACTTAATCTATCTCTGTCGTGTCCCCTATCTCTATCTCTATCACGATCCCTATCTCTTTTCATATCTTTATGCTTCGATTCTTTTTGCTCTTTATGTCGCGATGTGTCTGCGCTGTTAGTAGTATTCGATGTGGAATTTGGCGTTGACGTTATAGGCGTAATCGTAATAGCACCAATAGTAACTGCGGACGTACTGCTGATATTGCTGCTGACAGCGGAAATATTTGAGAGATGTTTCTTACTTTGCATACTGCTATTCGAGTTTTCCTCGATATCATCAGCTTTACGTTTCATTATTCTGCTATCTTTATTACTGCTGTCTCCCTGTTGTTGCTTGTCAAAATGTCTATCGTGAGACGATTTTTCATTGTGTTTCTGTTAAATAAAACAAGAAATTATTATGATTTCTCATATATTTGTTTTCAATAGATTTGTTTGCAATAAATTAAAAATAACTTAATAAATTAAAAGTAAATTAACGCGCAAAGTACCTTTGCAGTATTAGAAGTATCCTCTTTTTTATCGGGACTAGCTGTGGCACCACCATTGTCGCTATCTTTCTTTTTTGCTAGATTCTTATACATTTTATAAAGCTTTTTCGCTTTAAAGGTTGTAAACTTGGAAGCAAAGTACCAAAGATTGCTTTTCCATTCTTTGATTTGTTCAGGGTTTTTATATTCCGCCAGACACGTGTCAATATGGTTCCCAATTTGGTAAAGACTTCGACGTGCGCGAGCAACTCGCTCCTCCTCGCTCAGAGACATATCTGGTGTGTCTAAGGACTTCAATGCTTTCTTTACTGGTCTCATCTTCTCTTTGCACTGTATGATAAAACAGTATATTAATATAATCTCTCCAATTTATATTTTATTATATTATAAACATTTAATTTTTTTTATAAAAGTTGTTACAAGAAAAATATATATTTGTATTATATGTATAAATTTGTTTTAAATTTCTTAAAAGAGTTATATTAACCTCATCAAATACTGGCGGATCTAATTCACCGATTACTTCGACAGCTCTCGGTTCATTATTTGCAGTAAAATGCATAGGACCTGCAGCTTGTTTATTCTTTTTTACTTTTTTATTATCTTTTTTCTCCTTCTTAACTTTTTTATCTTTTTTCTTTTCATCAGGTACATCATCGATTTCTTCTTTGATATCTTTTTTTGCAATGTTTTCATCTTCTTTTTTAACTGCAGACTATAATCATAAAAAAAATGTATGTATAGATTCCATAAAAGTTCACAAAATATAAAAGGTTAGTTTCTTGCTTTTAAAACTTACTTTGTCAATTTTGGATTTTGATTTTTTATTTTCGTCGCCAGAGCTATCGTTATCTTCTACAATTTCTTTGGTAATTGCCATTTTCATCTCTTTGGGCTTCCTTGGTTTTCTTATTCGCGTCTGAAATAATTGGGTAATTTATTAAAGCAAACTTTTAAAAAGAGAAAATATAATTTATATTAGACATATTAATATCAAAATTCACATTCTATAGCTCTTTCGTATATCTTATGATTGCTTTTACAATTGCTTGTTAAGATAGGTAAAGTACAGGATAGGCTTGGTAAAGTACAGGAAAAGATGAAAGGATGGAAACAGTCGGGACATTACCTTGTATTCAGTTTCTAATTGAAGGAGAAAGACATAACCCTGTAGAAGTAAAAAGACCAATAAAGACGTCCATTGACATACAATATATCAATTGATCTTACCACTCCTAACTTTAGATCAATTTGCTTCTTTAAAATCTTCAAGAGATATTCTGCACGTGCATTCACACGTTTGAGTTGTACTTTATTGCCATTAGGAAGAATCTTATCGCCGAGTTTCAAATTAGTATCTGTTTTTATCGCCTCCCATGAGCCCATGCCATGCTGGTATATACCCTTTAACAGTCTAGCATCATCCTCGGAAGTCCATTCGCATTCAAAATTGGCTGGTTTCAATCTGCAGTAAAAATATTTTAGGATCGTGTTCATAGTCGTGATTCAACCTGAGATTTGATTCGAACTAGGTTTAAATCAGTCTTTTATTTGAAAAGTGCTTTTCATATCACAATTTAATAAATCCGATTGATTGAAACATTAGTTCAAACCTAGCTCGTCTAAAATGAGGATCAATCGTAGATCGATATATAACTATGAATATGGACTTTAATATTTTTCACACTTAATTTTAAATAAGTGTAAATTTAATTAGTGAGTTTAATTAATTTTATTATAATTGTTTCACTATTTTAAGTTAGACAATACTTTTGTATTAATTTTTTAATTAATGTTACTTCAGATTAACTAATTATATAAATTTTAATTATGTAATTAAAATAAAAATAGCAAATTCAAGACTATTGAGCGTCAGCGCGGCAGAGGGTACGCAAATTATTACAATATATGTAAATTATTACTCCATTTGATGTTCAGACGGTATAGTTAAGGAAATTTCATTTTCTGTATAATGGCAAATAAACCATTCGATAGTAAAAAGTAAAAAATTACGAATTACCCAAAATGACAGGTTGGCGTTTGTTGAGGTAAGTTATTTTTTGGTTTTCATCTAGTCAAGTTTTAGATTTTACAAATTGATGGTTTTTAATTAGAAGCCACTACAGATTTGGTAACCTGTGTGTGACTCTTTCTTGATTGACAACTAAACTGAGATAGATCAGGATTATAGAAAATGCTAAGAGAACTCCGAAGAGAGTCAAAATAAACATAAATTTGAAATGAAGTAGACACCTGGACTGGAGTTACAATTTACAACATATATTGTAATAATTTGCGCACGCTCTATCGCGCTGACCCTCAGTAGCCTTTAAATTAGCTGTTCTTGTTATTTTAAAGAGAGAGAGAGAGTGTGCGTGCTAGCTAATTATATTTATTTACTATATAATTAAACTTACTTAATGTCGAGATGCCAATTAGCACGTTGTTCAGGATCAGATGGCAAAGCTTGTTCTAAAGGCTCGAGTTCTTTGACAGCGGCGGAGAATGACTTTGCGTTCACCATTACACCGCCTATCTTAAAAGTAGGTCCTCGTCCCCTTTTACGACCCGGTCCTTTGCCTTCTTCTTCACCACCTTTATTCTCTTTCGCGGTATTCTCAAATTCTACCAAACATGCGTCACATCTAGACATCAATTGCTCGCCCAAGAAGCGCAATTCCGTCATCGGTTTCTCTTGTAAGTCAGCGTCAGCTGCAATATCTTCCAATCGTTTTAAAGGTGCTGGGAACTTTTTATAACTCTTGATGAATCGTCGTATCTGTAAAAGATAATATTGTTATATTAAAGATATAAGAGATAAATAATTCCTCATAAAATAAAACTCGTTATACATACCTCAACATCAGTGAAGCTCTTGATATTCTCACGCGGCGTGACTCTCGGTCTACCTCTTTTCTTAGGTCTATCATCGTCGCTTCCTTCCGCATCGCTACCCGATTCTTCGCCATCTTCACTGTCATCTTGTACTCTTTTTCGCTTTTTGCTTTTCCCTAAAAATAAATACAAAATAACATTTATGCGGTTAATTACATATTTTATTAAATGTAATTTCTTCCAAAAATACCTTCGCTCTGATTGAGCTGCTGAAGAGTTTTACGACTTCTCGGTGGTAAATAAAGATCCTCCATTTCTTTGGATTTTTCCTCCTCCTCCACCTTCCTTCGAAAATTTTCCGGAATGATTTCAGCCTAAAGTGTAAAAAAATATTAAATAACTAACTTAATATAATAAGAATATATGTGTTTATATAGATTTTTAAGATATTGTAAAAAATAAACTCTAAGATTTCCCCGTCAGGCTGTGTGGCTCCGCGATAAAACGGTGGCTTGCTAACACGAACTACTTACGAGGCCTCGGTTCGAATCCCGGCATCGTGTTCGAACGTCCGACATTTTTTCTCGCCCTTATAATATTAATCCATATACAAAAATAAATTAAGAAAAAAAGATATTTACCCAATCTTTACTTTCATCATCGTTATCATTTGGCTGATTAATAGGTTCCAAATCCTCTTCAAATGCTGTTTTAAAACTGGCAACTTTGAAGGCGGACAACAATTCATCGCCAACTGTTGTCGGTCCTTCGTCCCTTGTTTCAGCTCTTCTTAATATTTCGTCGATATCACACTAATATTACAGAAATAATAACAATTATTATAAACAAATCAATTAAAGTAGACTCTCGAAATTTCAAATAACAAGAATATAAGGGCTAATGAGAGTATATTCGCTGTTATTGGTGCGATTATAGTGTGAATTTTGAAAGTCTTTCAACATATTATTAAAATCTAATAAGATGCTATAAGCATAAAAAATTGTGATATTACTACGGTAGTTGATTAGAGTTGCGTTGTAAGTCTGAAGGATTTTCAGCACGCGTTTGAGGTGACTACATACGTGGTATATAAAATTCACACTATAATATATCTTATATATAATCACTCCAATAACAGCGAGTATGCTCTCATTAACCCTTATATTCTTGTTATTTAACAATTATTATAAAATATTAGTTTTTTAAAACTAATGTTATTATCCAAATAGATGTGTTCAAGATTAATATTTTTATAATATTATAGCATACATATGTCATAAATATTAAACTATTCTAACAAAAATGTAAAATGTGCTAATAAACTCACAGCTGGTTCCTCATCTCCATCTTCTTCATCTTTAAACAGATCTTCGGCGCCAAATTTTAAAATAGCATTTAAATCTTCTTTATTAAATGGATTACTATTGGTTCCCGCGTTCTTTTTATCTAACACTGTCCTTCCGGTTGTATCCATTCGCTGTATTACTAAATGGTCTAAGACCATTTTTTGCTTCGCGCGTTCAACGATTTCTTCCTCGACTGACTTTTTAGTAACCAGTCGATAGATATTTACCTACATACAATCAATACGACATAAATTTGATTAAAAGAGTGAAGTTGTTTTAAAGATTTATACAAATGAACATCGATTTGAAACAATTGCTAGCGTACCTTATTCTTTTGTCCTATTCGATGCGCTCTGGCTTGTGCCTGCAAATCATTTTGCGGATTCCAATCAGAATCAAAAATTATCACAGTGTCCGCAGTGGCAAGATTAATACCGAGACCACCTGCTCGCGTCGATAATAGAAAACAAAAGTCTTGTGATCCATCAGCATTGAAATGATCCAACGCTTGTTTTCGTAATTCCCCTTTTATACTTCCATCTAATCTTTGGAATGGGAAATGCCTCCTTTGTAGATATTCGCCAAGAATATCCAACATTCTGACCATTTGACTGAATATTAGTACTCTGTGTCCCGTGTCGCGCAATCTCACTAGTAATTTATCTAGAAGCACTAATTTGCCAGAACCACGAATTAATTGTTGCAAATAATCTTCATTAGTTTTTTCCCTTTCGGCCTCAATCGGTTTCGTAAGAAAGGCGTGATTGCAGCACTTTTTCAATTCAATAACAATGTTCAAGAATGTCGTAGTAGATCCTTTTACGCCTTTTCGCAATGCTTCATAATTTTTTGTCAATATCCACTTGTAATATTGTTTTTGCACGGACGTCATTTCTACTCGTAAGATCTGCTCGACTTTAGCAGGCAAAGATTTCTCGACATCTTTCTTAACTCGGCGTAGAATAAATGGCTCTAATTGCTTGTGCAACTTGGAGTATCCCTTCTGTGCAGCATTGTCGTGTTGCTTTTCAAACTCTTCCCAAGAAGCAAATCTATATTTATATATATATATATATATAGGAGAAAGTCACACATACTGACATAGGTTTCCTAAAGTGACACCCCTTATATTTCGGAAACTAACCTTTGCACCTTATTAATACTAATAAAAATGTTATCTATTTAGCTAATTAAAGAAACAAACTCATAATTTATATATATGTGGCTTATTTCTATATTAAATCAGCTAAAAACAAATCTTACGAATCCGAGAAGAAAATTTTTACGATATTCTTTTGCAAATTGCGTTATTTAAATAATAGTGACTATATTGATATTATGTCATTTTAAATGCTTATAGTTTCATAAATTAATTTTAGGATATATCTTTATCCTATAGAATAGGAATATAGGCATTACTGTCTATATCAGTTTTGGAGTTCATTTTGTCAGACTCTCATTTTTGCTTATTTTATGGAAAATTTAATTATTGTAAAACTGCAAACAGTATTATAAAAACTACTTGTACTATCTGATAAAAAACACTTTTTAGTTTGTACTTATGTTTTTGAAATTATATTTTTACTCTTAGTTTAAGAAATATTGTCTAAAAATAAAGTGGTATATCAGTATCGGTGATTTTCCCCTATGTATAGATCTTAAAAAAGACAGGAACTAACTTTGCAGGCATAATGAAATGTAATAAGGCCCACAGCTCCTTCAAGCTGTTCTGTAACGGAGTACCAGTAATTAATAAACGATGATTGGTGTGAAATTCGGTAAGTGCTTTATATAATAAAGAATCGTCATTCTTCAATCGATGAGCTTCGTCTACTAGCAATACCGCCCAATTTAAGGCACCTAAAAATGTTTTATCTTTAAGTACTATCTCATACGTCGTAAGAATAACGTTGAACTTTAGTCTCTTTGAATCCTGGTAGCACCATTCGTATTCCCTAATCTAAAAAGAATTTATGCATTTATTTAAAAAGAATCTTAGAATGTCAAACATTGTAAGGTAATGAAAAATAATACTTACAACATTACGAGAATTGATGTCGCCCAAGTAAGTGACGAAATTTAGATCAGGTGCCCATTGAGACATCTCTCTTTGCCAGGAAGTCATAGTAGACAGAGGAACTACTAATAAAAATGGTCCGTGAAGGTGTTGTGTGTGAAATAAATAGTAAAGGAAGCATATTGTTTGGATTGTTTTGCCGAGACCCATTTCATCGGCTAATATAACACTAAAGAAAAAAATAGATAATTAAAAGATTAAATAAATAATTAATAATTTCAGCGTTGTGTTATTTACTATAAAACAAAAATCTGTACCTATTTTCCTTGCACCAAGAATGTATCAACCAATTAAGTCCATCCATTTGATAATCTCTCAATATTAAATCTTTTTCCTTACCCATGTAAGCAGGTTGTTCATTCAATTGATAAAACTTAGGTCTAGATTTGAGAACTTTGCAATGTTTGCTCGGTGTTCTTTTGGAATCCTCTCTGTCACAAAATTCCTTTATTTTCTCTGGCCATTTTTTTACTATTAGAATTCCATCTTCCCATGTGGCCTCGGCGTATGACAAATTTTCCCATTTACAGAAATAATCGGGATATACCGAATCTGGTTTCTTATAATCAGCTGATGAAAGTATACGACGGTTTATCACATTATCATAATTTACATTAATATATAATATATAATAGAGAAAAAGTTAATATTATATTATATATATATTATATATATATTAAAAATATTTTTAGAATAAAGAGATAGTACCAATAATCCTCTCGACATTGTTGTAACTTTTCAGAAGATCTTGTTTAAGCTCCAATTGACATTCCAAATAATCCAACTCTTCTGGTTCAGCGTGTTCTCTCGTATATTCAATTGCACGTTCACGTTTAATAAAATTGTCTAACTTTTTCAATCCTTTTACCTAACAAACACAAAATTACAAATATTTCCTGACATCACAGTTAAGTTGACACAAATTTTTTAAATATTTTAATAATGCTATACTTTTTGTGTTTTTAAAGATTCCTCTGATTCCCATGTATTATGTATGTGAGACCAGCCTTTCCATTTGATCCAGTATTGTACTTCAGTTTCCAGGTTACTTAGATCCTCTGGATTAGGATCGCCGTTGTCTTCAACAGCGTAGATTGTCGTTATATTACCGGTAACTGCACATAATTATATAATAGAAATTATACTTCAATATATCTCAATTAACATCATAATGTGTTTTACACGCATGAGACCAACCTCCTTTCTTGCCCATCCTCTGTCCCAAAATTTGTTCAATAGTTTCCGCATTGTCTGGCTCTGTTGACGCAGCGTTCGATTCGTCAACTTCAACCAAATCCTCGCTATCAGTACCTTCTTCACTTTCCTCTTTGTAACTAACTGCCGTGCCTGCCCGTCTATTAATTTGCCTGATAATTAAGTTTAAATGTATAATTATTTTATTTGCTTTACATACCTCTCCATATTTTTAATAAATACTTTTCAATATGTACCTTCTATTATCATCACTGTCAAAGGAAGAATTTTCAGAAGAATCAGAGATACGCTTCTTTCGTATTCTGGCTTTCTCTTTTAGTTTTTGCGCCGCGCGTCTGTTCAAGGATTTGCTAGGTGGAGGTCTACGAATCTCAGTTTCGTCAGATTCCGAATCTGAACTTTCTGAATTCCACGAATTGTGTGAACTAAAACAATGAGTCATACAATTGCGAACGTGTTATATCTAATACATTCGCGCTTATTATTATGCTATGAACTTTATTTAACTCAATTTGAAATATGCTGCTAATTTTTTAATAACATTTATATGTTTTTGTATATAACTTCTGGTATATTAATACTATATTTAAAATGCATTGCAAATAATATTATAAAATCAATTCCTAAAATATGTGACATAGTCGCAAAAAATTTTTTTAAATATATAAAATAAAAAACATAATTTTTTTAACATTCATTATAATTGTAATGTTATATAAGAATTAAGATTTTAGAGAAATAAAGTTGTGTAATGGTTCAGGAAAATATCACATAAATAAAAATTTTAATGCTCTACATCACATAAAAAATTGTGTATCTGTTAAATTTTAATAAATTTGAGATATACAGTATCCGATGAGAAGTAGCTGAAACTAATCAGTTGGTATTTTTAAAAATGCACACAGAAAAAATTAAATATTTTTTCATAAAAGTATCTGACAGATTTATTTACACATAAAATAAAGACAATGAAAAATATTTTTATAATATCATTTGATAAATGTTCATAAAAATGCTAAATATTGCTAATTATATTTTGGAAATTTAAAAAGATGTTATAGTTTTTTTTATTAAATCATATTTTTAATATCGTCTATTTTATATGTAAATAAAACAGCCAAATTAATTACTATTAAATATGCGTTTATCAAAATAACAGCTGATTAGTTTGAAATAACTTCCTATAGCACACTCTGTATAAATATAGAAACGTAAAAACGCTTGTGATGTAAACTGGAAAGTATATTAAGCAGTTATATGCAAAACCAAAGTAAAATCCGATTAGTGCAAACAAATGTAAAAACGTAAACACTTATAAATATTTATGCAGTTAAAAGTATAATATATGTATGTATGCATACATGTAGTATACCTTATATGTGGATAATACTATGCAAATAATTATCACATGTGGAAACAAGTCGTTTTTAGTGTTGAAAAAAGCGTCCTGAATGTCGCAATTAAGGAACTCACATATTCGAGATATCATCAAATAATGACATTAAAAAAAAATTTCACGTGTTATATAACGATCAATACATAATGAAATTACATCGTATACATATATCATTTATAAATTGATATGCAAATGTATTAATAATAATGCACAAGTGGAAGTTGGCAAAAACATAAAATTGATTCGTTATTCGTGCTTTGTAGAATATGCATAAATAAAATATTTATCAAAGAATACAACGATTAACACGGTTGCAGAAGTAGTGTATTGTTGCAAAATATCTCTTATAATGACTGACAAGAACAAAGTTCACTATATGCAGACTAATTGTATTAGACTATATACTTTATATCGGCTATCGACAATTATGGCCTTGTTTTATCTCTGAAGTAGCGCATTGCAGCTCATATCTTGCAATCTCGCGATCATCGTAATACGCTCAGCCGAGTTACACCGATCGTTACTGCCGACGTATTCTCCTCCTCCTTCTCCTCTCCCCCGACGATTTGTCGCACTTACCTTTTCTTCTTAAACTTTTTGCGACTATCACTGTCGCTCTCGCGATTCGTTGCGAGCCTATCAGGTTCCTTCCTGGAACGCCCGGACCTCCTAATGCCGTATATGTCAGGATTCTCGTCCCACTCGCGACTAGACTCATGTTTAACTCTAAACTTTGCTTCGGTGCTGTGATTCGAGCCTTTGCTCTGGAAGCTATCGCTTTGTGCAGCAGGTGCATCCGACTTCTCCGACTTTTCCGAGTCGGAGCCCGATCCGGAACCAGAACCGCTCGAGGAGCTAGAGTCGCTGCATTAAGCAGCCAGGCAATATTATGAATGCATTCCACTCAACGTTCGTAATGCTCGCGTGAATCATGTCATCTTCGTTTAATATTTGATCATAAGAGGGATGGAATAATATTCGCGAGCGTTGCGAACGTCAAACGAAACGCATCTTTTATTTCACTAATTGCATATATAGACGACATAAATAGACACAGCATCTCGAAATACATATACTTGTTCAGAATATTTAACGATAATGTAGTCCTGAGAACAATTCACCATTTAAATATTATATAGCAATCATATGACATAATATTATCTAAGTATTCATATATAAACACAAAGAATTTTAATCATAAGATTAGAATTAGATAATATAAGAATACAAGAAATTATAAGATTATAATTAAATAATATAAGAAAAAGGTTTGTGCAAATTAATAAATGTATTAATTAATAAGTAAAACATTAATATAGAAATGTACCATATGACATGTAGAAATTTGTATCGAGTCTGAAAATTTATGATATACTCCAAGATGTTGAAATGTGAACGTTCTCTTACAATTCTACGATTCTACAAAATCTGTATACATTGATTACTTGACAGTATATTGACGAACCGTATAGACTTGTTAGACAGCTTATCTAGTACTGCACTGATTCTGAATAGGAAGAAAACAAATGTTTTAAAACATCATATGTTTTGTATAAGAAAAGGTGCTCACAAAAATTCAAGATAGGATATAAGTTAGCAGAATTGTTAAGACATTGTTAGTGCTATTTGAAGCTATAGTGATGCGCACAACTAGCCCATTTGCAAGTGGCATTGAGTGTTATAGACCCTTACACATCAGAGAATCCGATATACACTTGTATTCGATTTAATTCGTCTTGTTTTACAATATATTACATGCTACAGATGCATTCTACGAAAGATTAAACAAACGCTTATCTCAAAATAATGAACCTCAATATTGTAGAATTCTTAAAGAAGAAACAATTACATTCTGAAAAACATTAATAAAATTGAACATTTAAATGTTAATTTCAATTAAAATTTGCTTAAGAGAAATTCAGAAATTCATTGAACGTTTCCTTCTTGTACGAGGAAAATGTAAAATCTTACCGACACAAGTTCGTGTATCAGCTCTCACGATTTTCAGGGAAATGGGCTCAATTTCTTGTCCATACCCACCTTTCAGATCCAGATCCTGAGCCGCTGTTGCTGGCGGAAGAGGAGCTATCGCTTTTGCTCTCATTTTCAGTATCAGATCCGGATTCCTTACCAGATTCGGAGTCTAATGTTTTCTGGAAGTTAATGATGTCGAGACCACATGTAATTTCGATTTTATTTCTACGCAAAATATCGCTCGTCGCTTGTGTTGTTTGGAATAGTTCGTTCTTGTCCTCAATTAACGTTTATCGCGAAAAAACGCACCCTAGCATTATTATTCTCATTAAGAGATTTTTTTTAATTCTAGAATATAATTATGGTAACGAACGACAAAATAAATTGCAGTTAAAAAGAGCGGTGAAACTTTTTTTGCACATCTCTTCTTTCTTTCGATGAACGCACATGCAGGAAAGTATCATCAGTACGAATTCAACCTCCATTTTGTAACCAACGTTTTCCATTTCGTGACCACCATCCGCCATTTTGTCTTCATAGCAGAGAAAAACATTAATCTAAGAAATTTTATTAAATTACTGTTGCCGTACATTTGTAGAATTGCTTTCGCCTAAATAAAAACCAATAAAGATTAAAAAAGAAAATATAAACTGAAATGTTTAATACACTCTTTATATTAAATTCCGCAAGACTATATCTACGAGCGAAATCCTTTGTTCGACCATGTTTTATATCAGCAATACGCATTAAACCCAGACGAATTTTCTTCCAGATTAGTACGTTTGTCTCAGCCTATCGCATTCAATTACTTATAATGTTAATCGCATGAAAGGAATCGTTGGAGATATTCAACAAAGGTTTTTGGGGACTAAATAATAGAGATCAATGAAACACGTCATATGTTTTATTAAAAAGTTCAACAATTACATATCTCACACAATTGGCAGTGCTTGATTAAGATATGTAAATGCATACAAAAGTATATGTGCAACTAATAATATATGGGGATTTATTATATTATTTAATTTATAGCAAATTAGATGTTATACATTAATTTGTATTATATATTTCATCTTTCTGCAAATCTGTATCAGTGAATTTAATGACCAAAATGAAGATTCTCGTCACAAATATGTTGAAAAGTAATGTTGCAACTATGAGAGCAAAGTAAAATTCTGTCGCAATCAGATTTTTGTTTATGTACCTACTTAATCCTAGATCCCTCGTTCTATTTCTGTAACAAGCGTCAATAATAATGTACTACAATTTTATTCAAAGATTATACTGCATAATAATGTGATTAAATATTAAAATAATCTATATTGAACACTGCTGACAAAATAATAATAAATAAAATAATTTATTAAAATATATTTAGCTCAATAAAATATTAAAATAATCTATATTGAACACTGCTGACAAAATAATAATAAATAAAATAATTTAATAAAATATATTTAGCTCAATAAAATTATTGAAATTATATTTAGCTAAATAAATTACTAAAATTATATTTAGCTGGTAAAACATCTTGAAATTACTTTTGTAGTTTTTTATAACAAATATTTTGCAAAACATTTTAATAAATATATTGTACTACAAGTTGAGATATTTTGTAAAACATATATATATATTTTTTTTAATGAAGCAGCTAAATAAGACTTTTATGAAGTATCTAAGTATTATTTTTTACATTATATATATTTTAACATTCTTTACACTAATCAGCAATCGAATATTTATCAAATAAAATTATAATACAATTTTTTAACATTCTTTAGAGTAAAATTAGCGTTAATTATTAACATTAACATAATTGTTTACATTAAAAGTGTTAATTGATACTGTTTCTTTTCATACAGTCTCCTTATCTTTAAATAACCCTTTTTTTCTTCACGTTTTATTAATAAGTACCGTTAAGTGACTAATTTAATATCGTTTCTCTTATATATTTTTCAATGCATCATCATAATCATGTACCTTTTGTTCTAAACATTATACTACCCTCTAGATTTATATTTTCTCATATTGGTAATAAAGATATAATAACTAGTACATTAAAAGTAAATTATAACTGTAATGCAAATACTTTCTATATTTTTCTAAATGTTATTCACTATTTTCTATTCTATAAAAAATTCAGCTTGTTTAAAAATTTATAGACATAAAATAAACCTCTTTTTATATAATTTCATAACAATGTCTTGTATATATAAAGAATATATAAAAGAACTTGAGCTCAAACAATATTTAAATTAATGAGTCTTGATTTATTAATGGTTCTTATTAATGGACTAAACCATGTTCAGTCTTATTAATACATTATGATAATTCAAAGGTACTTGTTCATTATGAGAAGTAGTATACGATTAATGAGGTACACAAGTAGAGAAGCAATTGCTAAATTTGTTTACAGTTATTTATACATTTACAATACTGTTGTTGTAAAATCTACCATCTATTCAAGTATTATGTACACATATAATGATAAAACACCCAGACACTATGTCACTTTAGATTTTTTATACAAATTTGCTTGACATATCTTAACTAACCTCATTATTATTCCTGAAGTTAAACATATTTCTTAACAAACTGACGATTAGTAAGTATATAATTAGATTTAATGTTATTTTTATCAAGTACAAAGACAAATTTGTTGTTAAATTGAATGAAATCTATCACAAAATGCAATGAAGTTTTACTCAAAGTATGCTTTGTGACTGTCATTTTCATTCCCATGAAAGATATGTAGAAGAAATCAATATTCAACAGGATTCCAAATAGTATAAATAAAGTTTTACAGTACACATGAATGTTATAAAGCTTCTCAATAGACCCAATTGCATCCATCACATGCTAAAATTGTGAATTTCCTAAAAAAATTTCTGCAAAGAATTTTCAAAGGGTGAAAAAGCAAAATATTTTTGACATTATCCCGCTAGAAATGCGTCAAAATCGCGTGTATCGGCCATGAGAATTGTGTCACACATTCCTGATCACCGAGCAGGACTGTGCGCGACAATATTCAAGCTAAATTTGCAAAAATGGGTACATTTTTGATTTTCAAATAAGCATGACGCCAGGCCGAAGGAAAGTGTGAGGAATCATTTGCGACGAAAATCAGGATGGTACAGCGATGTTTTCTGTGAAAAATGTCAGGTTGACGCGACGTAAACAAACCTTATAGGTTATTGAGAGGCTAGAAAAGTAATGTGAAGTTGTGAAAAATCGTGGCAAGGATGGCACAAGTTCCTGAACCCGGACGGTCCGGGGGACCCCGCCCTACACGCGGAAACACTTCGAGGGCGGGTAACGGGGGTTTTTTTCGCGTTTTCGCGAGGTTCCTGTCGATCGTTGACACACGGAAACGCATGTGGCTACGCGATTTTCCCCTATTCCAAACAACACCGTGGTCGCGACGAGCGAGTCGCGCGCACGCATAAAATCGCGCCGAACGCATCCGCGTGCGATTCGCGATGAAAATTCTCGCGAGAATTCCCGGGTAAGGGGGCGAAATCGCGCCTGGATTCCGGGGGTGTTCGGAGATTGGCACTCACCTGCATGGCTCCCGTCTACGCGTCGCAACGACGACCCACCGAGGTGATTATCGACGCGCGTCGCGCGAACTCGACCCGATCCCCAATCGCAGCACTATCACGCGTGCACGTGCTCGTAATATCAGGCCGCGTTTGCCGCCGCGGGTCCCGACATTATGAAAAACTATCGGAGTATCGTGCGCTATATGGTCACGGACCCGAGAGGTCGACCGCCATTTTGTGAACCAGACTTGCTTCTTCGCCCTCCCCACTCGCGCTTCTCCCAGCATGCATCGCGCGCGCCATCTCGGTCGTCCTTTTGCCCCTCGTCACTCGTCTCGCGCCAATCGTAAGCCGCCGAAGACGCGAAGCCTTCGAAACGCAGCAGCGGATTGGCCTGGAGAGACGGAGGGAGAGGAAAGACGAGGAGACGCGCGCATCGAACGATTAAGGTTGTGTAGGTGCGCGCGCGTGGACGCATACCGGAAAAGCGTCTGTTAAATGAAACGTAGATTTCTCAAGCAAGTGTCTTGCGTAAGAAATTCAGCCGATATATGGAACGTCCCGATAAAAAGCGAATCGAAATCCTGCAAAATTTACGGCTCGATTTTTCTCGCGCGGATACGAACGAATCCGATCATTTCGCACGAGATTTAGCGAACCGACATCTCTCTCCGATGCGGGTCGTAAAACGGAAATCAAACGTCGCTCGTTGCACGGCCATTTTGAGCAGTCAATGATTTTACCCAGAATGCACGGCGTCGCGTCGCTTTTTTTCGATTAATTAACGTTGGGCTCCATTTTACGTGATCGCGTGAGCAACTGTTCGAAATGGCGCTCCAGAAAGAATTCTCTTTACACGTTCTCGTTTTACACTTTCTAACCGGAAGCGAGATCTCACTATTCCTTTACTGTACTCCAGAACTGAGCTTGTATTGTTCGTCTTTTGTCCTTATCTTCAATGTAAGAAAAAAAAAGATAAACCAAGAAAGTTCAATTCTAGAGTATGAAAGCAGGAACAGCTGTAACGATCGAACAGTCGCTCTGAAGGGAAATTTCTCGGAAAAGCATTATTATGGCGATTAACGGCGACCACGGTTTCGTTATAAACGCAGAGAATTTCATAAATTATACATTTCTCATCCACGAAAATGACGGTAGATTCGACATTTTGAGGAGGGGAAAATCGCGTAATGATCATCGACGTCAGTAGTAAGAAAATCTAGAAGATATTTCACAAATCGCGGCGGCCATTTTTTTTTTTTTTTTTTTAAGAAAGGGGAAACGAACGACGCAGAACGAGAAAAGCGTTCGAGCGCGTTACGTTATGTCAGATTGATACATACCATACAACGTGGAGCAACGGATTTTTTCGAGGGTTCAGGAACTCGCGCTTAACTCTAAACACGTACTTCTCGTGAAAAGCAGGCAGGAAGTCCACACTAACCGTCGGCCGAATGGATTGGAATGGACGGGCGCTGGTAGAACGCCAAGTTGGGCCGACGTCGCCATGCAAGAGACGCAAGCGAGGATGATCGGAGCACGACAGGCTGGCTTTCCATTATAGGCGCAGAACGGGGCGGAATGACGACGCTGGCGAACAGACGGACGGACGGACGTCGCCGTCTTCGAGGGATGGATTTTCTGAGCGACCGCGTGTCGCGACGTCGCGAAAACGACGCCGACTGAGCAGCGCGCCACGCCCGTTCCGATGGAAAGCCAGCGCAGCCGTCTCGCAGTCGATGTGACTGTCGTATCATGGTGAGAATGAAAGAGGAAAAATATTACCTACACGTCCGTGCCAACGCCGCGCCGGAAAGGGAGGAGAGACCCGTGCTTCCGGTATATGTACGCGATCGCGACTCGATCGAGACGTCGAGAGCTCGATGAGCGCCACCTACGTGATTCGAGTTTCGCGGCGGGGCTCTTTCAAACTTGATTATGAATATATTCAGATATTGACAAATTATTTACTTTCTTCCTGAATAAATAAACATTGTATTTAATACATCGAATATTGAATAGATTTTTCTATAAGAAAATTAATAGAGCGATAATATTCCAATTCTTTTATAATAACGCTTACAAACAAAAACCATCTTTAATATTTAATGTAGGGAAGGTTACGTTTGCTTACAGCTCCAATTACATATAAAAGGGTAAATGAAACCAAATATTACGCAATTTCAACACTATGGTGACTTTTATGAGACAATTAATTAATGGTAGATTTTCATGCACGATACAACTAAGTAAGTTTTGACCAGATAAGCTTTTAAAGAAAAATGTTTTGAAAATTGAAAGTGTTCGTAAAAATGGAGAGTAAGTATGAATAGTTAAAAAATATCTAGTCGATATTTTATTTATAATTTTTTTTATTTGATATTTTTATATCAAATAGCAAAAAATATCGAATATTCAATATTATCGAATAACGATAAACATTCTTCATTTCAAATATGCTTTACGCGGATGATAAATTGCTTTCGTGTAATTTGGCCTAAATTGGCAAGAAAGAAACACAATCGGTTAGTAACTTATTTAATAGAAAACAATAAAATTACAATTTATAAACATTAATAATAAAATTGTTTACAATATTTACGATATAATGTGTTTGACAGAAAAGAATGTTATCAGTTAAAAAATATTACCAGATACTTTACATAAATTATGTAACATTTAATCAAATCGATTTAACAAATTATTTCGTATTTTATTCGTTATTACAGAAAAAAAAAGAAAAAAAATTCCTATTCTATGCACTAATAGACTATTTCTGAAGAAACTCGAAAAAAATGAATGGAAATGGAATGATTCGACTGACTTAATCAAATTAAAAGGCGAAAACTGAAATAGTTTTTCAAAACATAATACATCTCGTAATTTAAACGGTACAAACAATTTTAATTCATAAAACAATTTTAATGTATAATTCATTTTATTTACATAACGATATTGTTCCCGATTAATATACAATATATATTATTGTTATGGAAGAGGACGTAAGATATGGAAATAATTATGGATTGTGATTAACACACATAATATATATATATATATAGATATATATATATATATGTATGTATACACATGATATAGAAAGGCAATTTCGGTAATAACACAAACCATGTACAAAGTGAAGATTATATATAGCACTTCGGCGCTAACTTGTGCTACTTGATAATCATATTACATATTTTATGCCAAGTTTTCTATTTTAGAAACGACAACTCAGTCTTGTAAACTAATTCGGCTCAAGTTAACAGCGTGCCAACAAAATGACGAATATGACGGTGACGAAAGAAAAAGCTGATGGAAATAATAATTGCATATTGCCAGAAGAATTCGGAGAGATAACAACTTTATTATGTACCCGTTTCGTATTATGTAAAGAAGTGATGTAAATGAGATACTGATTTTTTCGATAATAGGATGCAACTTAAATGCGTTATTCCGGATCTGGTGTCTTTTCCGCGACAATTGGTTGCTCCTCTTCCTCCTTGTTTTCCTTTTCCTTCTCCTTGTTTTTGGCATCGGGAACCCATAGACCGCTATCGACGCAACGTTTCATGTGGTATGTCGCCTCTTCTTCCGGCATCGCGGCTATTGTTTGTTGCAACAAGGGAATATCTTGCGCTTCGAAACATTTCTGTAAAGCCTACAAGAAATACGAAGGATTAAGGAAGGAACTTTTGTGGTGTTAGTTCACACATGTGCGCATCTCGAAACAAATTTTTATTTACCTCTGGAAGACTTTCAAACACTTCGACCGGATCGAGTCCACCGGGACCCAAACGAGCCTTTCTTTCCTCCTCTTCTGCTTCTCTAACCGCGTCAGCCACCTTTTCTGCTGCTCTTTTGCGTATTCTGTCTTTAAACGCTCTAAGTTCGTCATCGAAGGAGTTTTTATATTCCACTTCAGCGATCTGAATGCGACTGAAAAAGGAACCAACACATGCTCGCGGATCAACATCCAGTTGTTTAGATAGCTCCAATATGTATTGCATACATATGCATTGATGCGCAACATGCTCCATCAAATTATGTTTCTGAAAAAATATAAAATCGAATATAATAAAAATACATAATAAATTTGAAAACACGGTAGTGTCTCGGTAGAATTAACTACGTTAAGAGAATTTTATTTTTGATTAAAGCGGATCTTAGGTTAGCTTGATAATTTTTATTTGCAAATTTGCATATAAATATTATTAAGTAGCATGATCCACTTTAACCAAAAATAGGATACTTTCTCTTATTCTCATTGGTCTAAATTTTACTTATAGAGATGGAAAGAATTAATTGTTACAGATATCAATATATTGAACACGAGCATAGCACAGCAGACAGCGCATGGTCTGTCATACCGGAGGACCTGGGTTCAATCCCTGGTAGGAACCAAAATATTTATGCTCGTGTCTCCTCTCGGGAAAGGCCGGCGGCAATCTCCCGAAAGTATTCTTGCCCACAGAAACAAAGAATCTCTCGAAAAATTTGTTATTCAGAACCGGCATTAAACTGTAGGTCCCATATGCTCGTGACAATTGAATTACTACTAAACAGTGTGCGCACCACAAGCATATGAGAGAGGTGTATTGACAGGGTTTGCACTAAACTAAGAATTTGAAGAAAAAGAAGATATCAATCATTAAATCTGTTTAGTGAAACACTTTAGTTTAATAATAGAACAGTTGCATGTAAAATTTACTTCTTCCATTTCCAAATTAATGCACCAGATGACCAAATAATTTGCCGTATTCTCGCAAACCAAATACAGATGATCTTGCAAATATTTCTTGCTGTCATCATATTTTCTTAGCATGCCAAACTCTTTTAGTTTCTTCTCATTATCTTTAACAAATTGCTTCATTCGTTTTTCCTTTTCTTCATCAGATAAACTGCTGTCATCATCCCTCCTAGCAGGCTTCGTATTTATTACAGTTTTTGTGAAGCCATCTTGTCCAATAGTATCTACATTCCATGGCGTCAATCTTTCCTTCTTTTCCATTTCTTTCTCCTCCTCCTTAATCTTTTCCTGCTCCTGTTCAAGATCCTGAATAACTTTTTTCAATGTTGTTAAGTCAGCTGAATCACTATGTTCATCTTTTAATTTGGCTAATTTCTCCTTTGTATCTTTGAGTTTTTGCAATGTTCTAAAATAACAGAAATTATAAAAGAATTAATTTAATGTTACATACAGAGGAGATATTATTTAACATATTTTTGCTCATACTCTATTTTCTTTCTGTCGTGTTCCTCTTGTTCTCTTTTGCGCTCTTCCATTCTTTCCATTCGTGCTTGATGACGCCATCTAAATAAGGATGGTGTATCAATATTTGGATGCGTATCATCTTCGTCATCTGAAATCTAATGAGAGTAGCAAAATTTATCAGTGCAAGAACATTTGAATATACAAAATTTAAATGTACAAACAAACACACACACATACACAGACACATGCACACATCACTGCTGTTGAAGATTGTTAGACCAAAAAAATATAAAGTCTGAGAAATCAAACTGATTAATCTAATAAAATGAGAAGCAAATAAACTTTATGAAGTCAGAACTAATCATATATTAAAATTAAAAAACTATTGAAAAGTAAAGATCAGTTCAACTTCTAAAGCTCAGTTCCATTAATGTAAGATTAACTTTAATTTTGGCTTAATAGATTATCTTTTTCCAATACTAAGAATTAGAAAAGATAAACAGTAAGTTAAACCAAGATTAAAGTTAATCTGACACTAATGGAACTAGGTCTAAGAAACTCGGATAACTCGCAATATATAACAGTACAAAAATCTATAACAATATTCTAGAGAAAAGACTCCATTCTATTATTCATGTAAGCTGCATTCTAAATCAGAATAGCCAAGCTAAATCGAACTCTAAGCAGTTGACGTTTTGGTGATATTATCATAATGATTTCCGGCGTCAAGAGTTACGCGTGACCGGCGAGATTTGATCTTAAAAGTCTCATCTTCGAGAACATTCCACTGGATCGCTGGATCCAGGGAGGGTAATTGATATCGTTCTTACTTCGATATTCTTCCATTTGCTGTAATCCACCATCGTAGCGCTCGGATGAATCTGCTGTCAACGAGTCGCTTGAAGTAGACGATTCCTTCCTTTTTTTCCTTCTTCACCTTTCACGGCGAATAGTGTCACGCACGGAAACCGCAGATTGTCGCTCTCGCTTCCGCTTCTCCGATCGCTGACGCTTACAGCTTTCCATCAAGCCTGATTACCGACTGATCGTATATTCGATAATTATGAGAAAAAACGAGAGATGGCAGATCATGTATCGATCGATAATTCGTGATTGCACTTTCTACACTTGAAATAAAATAAATATATCATTTTAGGTTGGAGAGAAAAAGAAAGTTGAAAAATACAAAAGTTCAGCTCTAAAGAATAAACTAAGTTTGCGGTGTATCGTCTTATTCTTGTTTAACATTGAATGAACAACAAAGATAAGATTATACTCGCAGATACTCGGGGAACACAGGGTACAATTTCATGCAGCGAAGCTTCGCTGACGAAGACCCCCCACTCCACCGTAAACGAAGCCAGCGTTCTTCGATATATAGACTGTTTGAAATTTAAATGTCAAAACTTCAGAATGTGTAAGGAAAATATAGTAAAATTGTATAATATATAAGGAACTACTAATGTAATTATTACTATTTATTTATTTATTTCATCGTGGACATTTATTATCATTTTTTATATTTATTCTATATTTATTGTATCTATTCTATAGGGTATCGGAGGTAGATGAAAATACAGTCCTATACAAAGTCAAGCGTATCTCTTATTTTACGAGAGGATTCTCTGATTCGATAAAACAATGGCAGAACATGAATGAATATTCGTGTGAATAGTTATGTTCGCATTTCCGATTTTCGAAAGAAAGAAAACAGACTTATGATGAATTTATTAATTATGCAATTATTAAGAATCACAACGCGCATTATCGGATGTATGATGTATGAAACTGATTATGTGTACACACATTACAAGAAACCTGTAATCTATTAGAAATATCAAAAAATTGTTTCCTTATCTTATAACTTTATATAATCTATTATCTTTTTCTTTTTTTTGACTTATTTATTACTTTCAAAATATCAAACATCACTTCGTCCAGTAATTCTGGGTCTATATCACGAAGTAGGACAGATACCAAATGTGCCATTGACGCAGGTTTATCATATATAGTTGGTGGAATATTTTGTGAAAGATGATGAAAAATTTGCTCTATTTGCTCTATTTGTCCCATATTAAAAAGCAATGAACTCTCCAAAGAATTGGCAATCCGATCCTGGGGATTATCTGCAGTCATGTGGCGTTTATTGCTATCTGTAAAAAATATTCACATTCTGTAACTTATATTTAGAACATAAGAATTTATGTTGAAAAAGTATTTATCTCCATTGAACCAGGAAAAAATAGTCATTACTATTTCATACAAACAAAATTACATAAATTTTGTATTTTGAATTTTCTATGTGCAATTCGATTCCGCTTTAACCAGTGAAATGTTCCACCGATGGAGCTAAATACATTTGTCAATATATGAATTCGTAATTCTTATGTATTCTTTATTAAATGGTTTGTTTTGACATGCAAATAAACTCTTCAACATACGTGATGTATTATGACTGTTGCTGCTACGACTGTTACAGCTATTGCTGTCATCGTGAGAAACATTCGATTCTAATGAATTTGATTGTGTATCATGAAATTCTGACAGAGTCTCGATATTACTGCAGATAGTTCTATCATGAAAAGAAAATTAATTATTATACTATATATTATACATTTGTATACAAAAATTATTATCATTATTATTATTATACCTGCTTTCTAGCCGCATATCATTCAAAAACTGCATACGTTGTAGATGTACCCACGGTTTTTTTCCACTTGCTACAGATCCACTCGGTTGCTGATCCTTTTTTGAATGCACTCGAAAAGAATCTGATAGCGACTTCCACTTCTTTTTCATCGCCTCCACGGAATGGAATGTTCCTAAAAAAAGATGGAAATACATAATTTGATAAATCAGTATTTTTTTGTAACATAAAATTATGGCATATTTTTAGAAAAACCTTATACTATATAACAATAGCAACAACATTATTACCGTTCATAGCTTTATACACTTCTTCCCAGAGTTGTTTCTTTATTTGTAGGCTGCGTTCAGTTACAGATAGTTTGAAGTTCCACAATGCAGGTCGTTTAAAGACTTCATCGATTAGCTGTTCTTGTTTTTCTATTTCCATCTTTTTTGTTTCTAAGTTGACTGACTCGTTACGTGAATTTACAGTAAAAAAAACAGGTTATACGTAATATTTCTCATTTGTGGCGTGCAGTGTTGCTTCGCTCATAGTTCAACATTAGGTCTGTTCTTTATTGCTGAACTTTTGCACCAGTTCATCTTTTTTCCTTTTCCCTTCTCCTGGAGAGAAAAGGAAGAAAGATGAACTAGTGCAAAAGTTCAACAATAAAGAACAGACCTATTGTTAAACCATGAAGGAAGATATAAGGAGACTCCACTCGGTCTCGCCAGTCTACAAGCAGAGAGAAACCTGAGAGAGGACATAACGACCTAAAACCTGTAACCACAAAATACTGCCG